ATGAACGATCATAAATAGATAAAAGAATTTTTTATTGATTTTAAGCAATTGGTAATAGTCATATTATGTATAATCATCGTCATCGTTGTTATCCTCACATTATCTTATTAGAGTATGTATAACAATATCAGTTCTATATGTTGTCGTCATTCTATAAATTCAATTATTTTTTATGTTTTTCTAATGTCAGTACTGACATTTTTGAGAAAATATAAATTTTGATTTATTCTAGACTTATCAAAATCAAGGAGGAAACAGCTGACTTCGAGACTTCAAGCACAGAGACTTCAAATTTTTCAAAGACTTCTAAAGACTTCAAAAGATTTTTGAGACTTCACAGGACTTCAGAAGACTTCATAAGACTTCACGAGACTTCAGGAGATTTCAAGAGACTTCATGAGACTTCAGAAGACTTTAAAAGACTTTCAAGACTTCATGGGACTTCACGACCGAAGTCTCTGCTGTTTTCCCCTTGGGTAAGATGATACAAATGTTTTCGCAAATGTTTTTAATTATAATTAAAATATTTGATACTAATAAACTAGTAACTTGTTTTGATTTTACACAGGAGATCTTTTCAACAATATGTGTGGCTATCGTGATCATTATACCGATGAAGCAATGATTCTCTTTGACAACAGTCGTCTCCACTCAGAATCAAAAACAAATAATAGAAAAAAAAAGAAAATAAACTGGTCATGTTGTACAGAAAAATGTTGATTATGGCTAAATAAATAATAGTAATAATGCACTCGGTGATGATGATAAAACAATAGATAGTGATGAGCAAAAAGGTGATGATTATCATGAAACAAATCCTGCTGATCAACCAACAACTGAAGATAATGAAACAATTACTGATAGCGATGAACGTATTACTGATGATAATGATACAACATCAAGTAGTGATGAATCATCAGATGATAGTGATGATGAAACAAATCATATGGACAAGGAGGACACACTTCTTAATCCTGATACAATAACAAATGAAGATCTTGAAAAGAATCATGACACAAGTGATGAAGAATATGATTATTATAATCCAAAAGACAAAAGAAGATGAAAAGAACAAGATTAAGTAACAGTTCATTAAACATTTTTTAATGTGGACTTTGTCACATGAAAGTTTTTTTGAATAAAGGTTTTTTCTTGTCTATCAGTTAGTCAAGTGTTCATTTCTTGCTGTATGAACTTTGATTTTTCTATAACAATTCATAAAACTTGTTAAAACGTCTCTATATTCCACTAAAGTGCTTATTTTCCATGCAAAAGTCTCAAAATTCATTTTTTTCTAGGAAAAATCGTGTTTTTTGAGTAGCTGATTACAGAAATCATCAAAATTTTTCGCCAAAGAAGAGGCGTTGAAAAAAAATTATATCATTTCTGAAAGATCTGAAGACTGGCTATCTTCCACTACATTTATCTCAATTTCGAAATCTCTGACGAAAATTAACTTATTTTTGAAGCGGGGGGG